GCTGTAGCATGTCTAAAATTTGAGCTGCATCTTACACACCTTGTCAAGGGAAATTCGGCTCAGTGGGGCAGGAGAGGGGACCTGGGGTGCCCACGCCAGCCTCAAGGAGATGGTTGGTGTCCTCACCTCTGAGACTTGATGCATTGTTTGCACTAGAAGTGCCGCGAATGAATGAATTTTTTTTTTTTGAAGAAAAATTTGTATTATTTTTTACAAAACTGTGTACAATTTAACCCAGTTTTGTGGCCAGTTCTTTAGCCTTTGCCTTTTCAAGCTTGGCGATGCGAGCCACAGACTTGGGACCCAGGACATTGCCTCCCCAGTGACGGCGGATCTCATCATATCTATCATTATAGTTGGTGCGGATAGCTTCCACCAGCTTAGCCAGAGCACCTTTGTCTTCCGAGTTCACGTGTGTGAAGGCGACAGTGGTGCAGGTCTTCCTGTGGACTAGACGTCCCAGTCTTGCCTTCCCCTTGATAATGCAGTAAGGGACTCCCATGTTACGACACAGGGCAGGCAAGAAGACAACGAGCTCAATAGGGTCCACGTCGTGGGCTATCACCACCAGCTGAGCTTTCTTGTTCTCCACCAAGGTGGTGATGGTGTTAACTCCCGCTCGAAGGACAGGTGGTCTCTTAGTGGGGACGTCCCCTTTGCCAGCCGCTTTCTTCTCGGCCCGGGCCAGCAGCCTCTGCTTCTTTTCTTTCCTCGTTTCTGGTTTATACTTGTGGGCCAGCTTAAGCAGCTGAATAGCTGTTTGGCGGTCCAGGGCCTGGGTGAACTGGTTAATTGCAGGGGGCACTTTCAGCCACTTACAGAGGATGGCTCTTTGCCGCTGCAACCTGATATAGCGGGGCCATTTCACAAAGCGGGTGAGGTCTCTTTTGGGCTGGACGTCTTGTCCAATTCCAAAATTTTTCGGCCTTTTCTCAAATAGTGGATTCACCACTTTCTTAGCCTCCTGCTTCTTCACGACAGCAGGGGCCGGAGCCACTTTCTTCCCCTTGGCTTTCTTTCCTTTCGGCATCTTGGGCGTCGGGAACAGCTTTTTTTTTTTTTTTTTTTTTTTTTAAGACGCGGTTTCCATCTTGTTGCCGGGGCTGGAGGGCAATGGCGCGATCTCGGCTCACCGCAGCTTCAGCCTCCCGGGTGAGAGCGATTCTTCTGCCTCAGCCTCCCAAGTAGCTGGGATTACAGGCATGTGCCACCATGCCTGGCTAATTTTGTAGTTTAAGTAGAGACGGGGTTTCTCCATGTTGGTCTGGCTGGTCTCTAACTCCTGAACTTAGGTGATCCGCTGGCCTGGGCCTCCCAAAATGCTGGGATTACAGGCGTGAGCCACCGCACTCAGCGAATAGGTAAATTTTAATCAAAATCTGAAAACATATTTGTCACTTAAAATGCCATTAGAAAAAGTAAATTCCGGTGAAATTTCGTTTATTATGTATATTGAAGATTACCTGTCATCGTCATGCAACATAATTAAAACTATAGAAATTGCCAGGCTCTTCGGATAGCTCTATATTAGGAAACCCTGAGCCTCCAGTAACAGAAACCACAGCTTGAAGTGGCTTGAACCATAAGGTCATTTGTTATCTCCAGAAAGAGTGAAACCCCGAGGGATGAGGACTCCTGGGCAGGTTGAGTCAGTGGCAAAATTACTAAGGAGCAGGTCTTCTTAACTTTTTTTTTTTTTTTTTTTTTTTTTTGCCATCACCTTCAGACACAAAACGTCCTGAGGAAGAAGACAGCAGTGTGTGGTGTGTCTTGGTTAAGAGCCCTGCAAGCTGGTTTCCTTCCCGTTCCATGTACCATACAGCTTAGGCCTGTGTCCCCCCCCGAACTAATCACTGTCAAGCAGAATTGAGCTACCCTGATTGGTTTGCAATACCTATGTGGGACAGTGTGGATACAGGGAAGTCCTCCACAATCTCCATAACCACACCCTCCGGCCTTCTTAGAGGAGAGGCTGGACAACTGATCGTGTATCACAAAGGACCATCATTCAGGTACCAAGCGTCTGTCTGTCTGATGCCAGGAGCTGTGCCATTTCCTCTGATAGATAATTCAATTAAGGAGAAACTAAAAGCTCAAGCAGTTGGGAAGAGCAGATGACACCGTGGTGTTCTGTGACATGCTGTGGAATGTCACCATTGGTCCCAAATATTCTAAATCAGTCGCCATCCTGAGCAAGAACAATACAGAGCAGCCGGCCGCCGCGATCACCAGAAAGAATCATATTAGACCCTGAAAATGTGAAGAAGCAGAAAACTGAACTTGGATCTTCATGTGTGTAAAATGTAACAAAAGGTGATGTTGATTGATGAAACATCCTGTTTAAGAGGTACAATTCTGGGCCGTGCACGGTGGCTCACACCTGTAATCCCACCACTTTGGGAGGCCAAAGAGGGTGGATCACAAGGTCAGGAGATTGAGACCAGCCTGGCCAACATGGTGAAACCCCCTCTACTAAAAATACAAAAATTAGCTGGGTGTGGTGATGCATACCTGTAGCCCCAGCTACTCAGGAGGCTGAGGCAGGAGAATTGCTTGAACCCAGGAGGTGGAGGTTGTGTGAGCCAAGATCACACCACTGTTCTCCAGCCTGACAACAGGGTGAGACGCCATCTCAAACAAACAAAAAAAAAGAGGTACAATTCTGGGCCAGGCAAGGTGGTTCAGGTCTGTAAACCCAGCATTCTGGGAGGCCAAGGCAGGCAGATCCCTTCAGCTCAGGAGTTTGAGACCAGCCTGGGCAAAAGGGCAAAGCCATTTCTACAAAAAATACAAAAATTAGGCAGGCATGGCGGCACGGGCCTATAGTCCTAGCTACATGGGAAGTTGAGGTAGGAAGATACTCTGGCTTGAGAGCTTAGATGGTGCCACTGCACTCCAACCTGCGTATACAATTCATTTAGAGAGAAACTCAAGGCTGAGTATGGTGGCTTACACCGGGAATCTCAGTACTTTGGGAGGCTGAATCGGGAGGATAGCTTGAGATCAGGAGTACAAGACCAGCCTGGGCAATATAGTGAGACACAAGGTCAGGAGATTGAGACCATTCTGGCCAACATGGTGAAACCCCATCTCCACTAAAAAAAAAAAAAAATTAGCTGGGCATGGTGGCACGTGGCTGCAATCTCAGCTACTTAGGAGGATGAGGCAGGAGAATCACTTGAACCAGGAAACCAGAGGTTGCAGTGAACCGAGATTGTGCCACTGCACTCCAGCCTGGCGATAGAGTGAGACTCCATCTCAAAAAAAAAAAAGAAGTGGGTTTTGTAAGCTGGAATGGAAGGTGTTGGGTATTTCTCTGAAGGACCCTGGGCAACCAGATGTGAAGTGAAGGTCTTTGGTAGGTCCTGAGCTACTGAAGATACTGAGTGTTGGGGGGCCTTGCCAAAGTGATGTCTCCCAGAACAGAGGAAAGTTCCCCTTTGAGTCTGGAGCCAAGAAAGCGAATGTCTGCCATTTAGAGGAGCCACTTTGCTCTTGTTACCTGCCCTAACGTTTCCAAAATACAGAGAAGCAGCTTCAGTGTACCTTGCTGCCTATTCAAGAGGTTTCTAAGAGTAAAAAGAAACTTACAGGCTGGTCAGAGCGCAGTGCTGTTTACAACTAATTGATCACAACCAGTTACAGATTTCTTTGTTCCACTCCCACTGCTTCACTTGACTAGCCTAAAAAAAAAAAAAAAAAAGAAAGAAAGAAACTTACAACTTACACTGTTTGCTTCCTGGGCTGTCCTATTCCATATGCGGCCTGCAGCACCTCGTGCCCAGGTCCAGGGCTGAGTGAGGGAGCTGGGCTGGCCAGCAGGCCTGTTGGCGGCCACAGCCCTCATGCGGCTGAGGAGGCAGCTTTCCTGCCTTCTGGAACACAGCCTAGCAGGAGGAGCCACAGAGCTGGCGAGTAGCAGATAACTAGGAATGTGGTTTCCGGAGCCCCAGGAAGAATGCAACCGGGGTGGGTGAGGCCCGGCACAGGCAAGCGTTTCTTTCTGCACATCCAGGCCCGAAGTCACTTCTCCAGCATCTGTCCATGGGAGCCCTGCCAGGGCTGTGCTGGGCTCCGTCTTCTCAGCCCTGTTAAATCAGCTTCTCAGAATGCCTCTTGCCAACTCCACCTTCTACACCCCCCAGGGAACTGCTGGGTGTAGTTTATATCATGGAAGTAGGGTGAGGAGGGCCCACGGCTGGCTCAGGGGCCTAGCCGTGTCTTCATATGTGTGTCTGCCAGCCTCTCTCCTGTCCCCATTCTTGCCATCCTCAGACTCCAAAACTGCAGATCAAGGCCCATGTCTCATTACACCAAATCTGCCAGGGCCCCAGAGTCAGTTCCAGGAGCTGGGCTTCCAGGGTACAGCAGACTAAGAGCCAACAGAGTGGGTGCTTATGCATCTGAGGGAGGCCTGTAGAAGACGAATATAAATATATGGATGTCAGGCTGGCTGCGGTGGCTCATGCCTGTAATCCCAGCACTTCGGGAGGCCAAGGTGGGTAGATCACGAGATCAGGAGTTCAGGACTAGCCTGGCCAACATGCTGAAACCCCACCTCTACTAAAAACACAAAAATTAGCTGGGCATGGTGGCGCACACCTATAACCCCAGCTACTCGGGAGGCTGAGGCAGAGAAACGCTTGAACGCAGGAGGCAGAATTTGCGTTGAGCCAAGATTGCAGCATTGTGCCAAGATTGCAGCGTTGCACTCCAGCCTGGGTGACAGGGTGAGACTCGGTCCCAAAAATAATAATAATAATTATAATAAATACATATACAGATGTCTAAAAGGACTGACCAAAGAGTCCTAATTTTCTGTGCATATTTCTGAAGCTGCAGGTTAAAATAACTAGAAAAATAGGCTTTGGTTTGGAAGGCTACTTGGCATTATTTAGCAATACTTGAAGTGCACATACCCTTTCACTCACATGTCATGGTTACAAGTTACACATTTATCGTTTATATACATATCCACACATGTACACTAGACATTTTGGTAAGGACATTTATTATAGCACTGTTTGCAGTAGCAATAAAAAAAAAAAGGAAACTACTTAAAAGTCCATCGTTAGGGAACTATTTGAATCAAATAAGGCATATCCATACTACGCAGTAGTTATTATGTGGCCGTCGAAAACAGCGAGTGTGATTCATGATGTGATACAGAAATCTCTCCAAGCTGAGTTATTAAGTGAAGAAAGCAGGCTAATGTGAAGGCAAGAAGAAGTGCAGGCACGTGCCTGCAGGGGCATAGCCCATAACCACAGGCACACATGAGAGCGGCACCATGGCGGTTTTTATGGAGGGGGACACGGGGGCTCAGGGAGAGAGGTACGCACCCTTTTGCAATGTATGAATTTTGTAATTGTATGAATATATTGTCTAGAAGATTTACCAAATATTAACATTCCCGTTCCGTGGCTATAAAGTCTACATATGATCACCATTTTCCTTCCCCAGCATCTGGGGGGCATCAAGAGAGTGACTATGCAGGTGAGGGCAGTGATGATGCCAGTGAACTGTGGCTGCGAGCAAGCAGTGGGCTCTGCAGAGCACAGGCCTGGGAGCCAGCCCGCGAAGGGGCGGGGACTCAGAAAGTGACACTAGAATTTTGAATAATCACGCAAGAGCTTTTGCATCTGATTGTTCCCTTCAAAGTAGTCTGCTGGGAGCCTAGATCGTCAGAGGATCTCTGAGTTCAGTGCTAAGAATGTGTCAAAACCTCTGTTTGGACCTTTAGGGTGGTGACCAGAGCTACTCATTATGGGCAAATATTGATCCACAGAGGCAGAATCTGAATTTTGAAAATGGTCAAATGTCTTTTGGTCACACGTTTGGTTAAAGAGATGAAAAATCAACGGAGGCCATTTCTCTTTTAATTCAGAGCAGGCTGTGGCTCTGGTGGCCCTTAAAAACTGGCTCTGAGGGTGAAGCCCCAGAAAGACGCTAAGAAAGTGTGTGCCTCGGCAGCCGGGGGAATGCAGCGGGGTCCCAGGGGGCTGCTTTGGAAGAGGCAGCTGGCCGGGGCGGCGCGGGTTCTGTGTGCGGAGGGTCGAGGTCTGGGCCCGCGGTTCAGCTTTTCTTGCGCAGCTGGCTGTACTGCGCGCGGCCCAGGATGGGCTCCAGGACGCTAGGGCGAAAGAGGCTGTCGCTGACCCTGCGCTTCGGCTTCTCCCGGGGCACTGCCGGGAACGCGCGCGGCGCAGCGGGAGGGTCAGCCTCGTCCTCCGGGCCGGGGCTCCGTGCGCGGCGAAGGTTCCCGCGGGGCTGGGCGGGGCGCGGGGCGGGCTCAGGGCCCGGGGACTGCGCTCCCGACGCCCTGCGCTCCGTCTCGGGGGGCGGGTGCTCGATGTCCCGGAACTCGCTCTCGGGCTCCATCAGCGACAGCCTGGGGAGCTGGAACCCGGCAGTCTACTTAGAGCACCAGCCCAGCCCCATCCCTGCGCCCTGGACCCATCGACCCTTCCCCGGGCCTGGTAGCCGCCTTAGAGCCCCGACCTGGCCCTGGTCCCTGAGCCTCTGACCCGCTGCCCCTGCCCGGCCCCTCGATTGTTTCCCCAGGAGCAGCCATCGGGAGAACACAGGCTGGGGGACGGGGACGGTGGCCTGTCGGCACCGGGGAAAGCCCCGACGTCCTGCCCACCCTGAGCCTCTCCATGGACCAGGCCACTCAGGCAAGCCAGGTCTCCCGGAGTTTCAGGATCCCTGGGCCTCCCTCTGGGGAATGTTCAGTGGGACGTCATCAGCTTTCCTAACCCTTCCTTGCAGCCCGCACAGTGACCTGGCCAGGGACAGGCTCACCTTCCTGGGGCTGGCCCGGGCGCAGGGCAAACAGGCCGGCTGCTAAGATCCCTGGCATGCTGCTTGGTGGAGAGAGTGACTGATAAACCCACCCCCTACCAGCTCTATGGGTGCCTTCTGCCCTGACCAGCCCCGCTCAGGCCTGCCAACCTGTAACTTGCTCTGGAAAGGGGCTCCCGAAGGGATGGCATTGGTATCCCCGGGGGTTTTTTCTACTGGTGACAGGTGGTAGAATTGGGTGGGGCCTGCTGCTGTCTCCTGAACTCATGGCCCACCCCTAGGGTGCCCTGGAAGCCTCTCCAACCCTTCCCAGGCCTCAGCATGCAAACCGGCCCCAAACCAGCCCCAAACCTGCCCCAAACCTGCCCTAAACCTGCTGGGCCCTTCAGTTGGGTGTAGAGGGGTGAGGGTGAGCCACTGGGATCCCGGGGCTGAGGCAGGAGACTCCTACCAGCAAGTGGGAGGGGCCGAGGGGAGAGGCCTCAGGCCAGGGCCGTAGGCCTCTATCCTCCTGGGGCTGGGAGAGGCGCAGTATGTCGATATGCTGGCAGGGCACTGAGACCTGGAGGAGGGTCTCCGGAGGGAAAGGACGGGTCTGCAGCCCCTTCAGTCAGATCTACTTTATCTGCCCGGTCCAGCCCCCCTTGGGACACTAACAGCTTGCCAGGGGTGGGACTCACCGGCACGTAGTGCACCACTGTGTCCACCACGTTGTCAGTAACACCCTTCAGGGCGTCTGATAGCGACATGGCCCTCCCCTTGGTGGAGGTGACGGCCGGGGCTGGGGTGAGGTGCAGCACCCTCCCTGCCATGCCCAGCACAGCTGCAGGTGCCCACGTCACAGCCGAGATGGTGGTCTGGAGGGCCTTCTGCAGGGTGTGTGCCACATTGCCCAGGAGGCCCTGAGGGCCTGGCAGGGCTGCTACCTGGGGGCCAGAGCAGGGTCAGTGCCTCCTGAGGTGACTCCCTTGACCCTTCTTGCCCCACCAGCCCCAGAGCTAGAGGGGAACGCATGGGAATACCAAATGTACACAATTTGAGGCCTATTCTGCCACTAGAGTGTGGCTTTGGGCAGGTCACATCCCCTCCCTGAACCTCTGTTTCTTCTGCAAAACAGGACAGTCATCTCTGCCCTGCTGTTTACAGAGTGTTGGAAGGGTCAGCTGAGAGAATGGCATGGAAGTCCCTCATCGGCTGGGCATTTGAGGGTAGGGTGAAGAGCACTGCACCTGCCTGCCATGCCCCTGCATCTGGGGTACCACCCTACGCCTCTGCTGCTCACCTCTTCTGTGGGCTGGGGGACCTTGAGGCTCCCACTCTCCCCTTACCTCACTGAACTTCTTCTCTTCAGTCTCTGATTCTTCCTCCTCCTCTGTCTCCTCTCCTTCCGTGTCTGTCTGGTCCTCACGATCCTCCTCCTGGGTGGCGAGGTTGTGCAGCCAGGGCACCCGAACCTCGCTCTTCCGCCGGGACACCACCTCCATGGCCACTGACGCACCCCACTGGGCCAGGCTGCTCTGAGGGAGGGTGGCAGCACACCGCTGGCTCCACTGCCCCTGCTGAAAGCCAGCAGCCCCAGCAGCCGAAGCCCTTCGCACCAAGGGTCGGGACTGGGGTGGTGAGCAGGGCTCGGCCCCAGCAGACTTTTCTTGAAACTTTTTGTTAAGTGGTAATCTACATACACTGAAGTGCACACATCTTATTGTAAGCTCTGTGAATTTTATAAACACCTAGGCCGGGCGTGGTGGCTCATGCCTGTAATCCCAGTACATGGGATTGCAGTACATGGGATGGAGGCTGAGGCGGGTGGATCACAAGGTCAAGAGATCGAGACCATCCTGGCCAACAGGTGAAACCCCATCTCTACTAAAAAAAAAAAACAAAACAAAACAAAAAAAAAAAAACTGGGCACGGTGGCTTGCGCCTGTAGTCCCAGATACTTGGGAGGCTGAGGCAGGAGCACTGCTTGTTGGGAGACTGAGGCAGGAGCACTGCTTGAATCCAGGAGGCAGAAGTTGCAGTGAGCCGAGATCAAGCCACTGCACTCCAGCCTGGCACCTGGCGACAGAGCAAGACTCCGTCCCCAAAAAAATAAATAAATAAAAAAGAACGCACCTGTGTAACCACCACAGATCAAGAAAGAGACCATTTTCTTTTTCCTTTCTTTTTTTTTTTTTTTTTTTTGAGATGGAGTCTCGCTCTGTTGCCCAGGCTGGAGTGCAGTGGCACAATCTCGGCTCACTGCAACCTCCGCCTCTGGGTTCAAGCAATCCTCCTGCCTCAGCCTTCTGAGTAGCTGTGATTACAGGTGTGCGCCACCACGCCCAGCTAATTTTTGTATTTTTAGTAGAGTTTCACCATGTTGATCAGGCTGGTCTCAAATTCCTGACATTGTGATCTGCCTGCTTCAGCCTCCCAAAGTGTTGGGATTACAGATGTGAGCCACTGCGCCCAGCCAACAGACACCATTGTCAACATCCGAAGACCCCCCCCATGTTCCCACTCAGTCCACATTCCCCCAAGAGTGACCACAATCCTGATCTCTGCCACTGTGCCTTAGTTTTGCCTACTTTTGAACGTCACATAAGTGGAGTCACACCATGTGTATTCATTCACGGATAGCTCCTTTAGTGAAATAGTAGGCTGTGAGAGTCACCCATGTTGCTGCAGATGGAAGTAGTTCCTCCTTTTTCATTTCTGTGTAATATTCCATCATGCAAATTTCCTGCAATTTACCCATTCTACAGCTGATGGACATTAGCATTGCTTCCAGCCCTTGGCTAAGGATATAGCTAATCTGAACATTTTAAACATGTTTTGGGAGATGTAAGTGCTCATTTCTGTTGAGTATACACTTAAAAGTGGAACTGCTGGGCCATAGCATACATGTATGTTAGCTTTAGTAGATACTCCTCCCAGATCTTTAAAGAGTGAAAACTTCAGTGGACCAGAGTGTCCCATGGGAAGAAACTGACTGAGCAAGTGGGCCTGTGTCTCCTGAGGCACATTCTAAGCCTCTAGGGAGCCCCACAAACAGGGCCTCCTTCTTACACAGTTTTGGGGACGCCACTCTAGTCATGTGAATGGCAGCATCTGAGGTTCTGCCCCCTGCAGGCTGGGTCCAGGCATGTGGGTCAGTCTCAGCCCTTACTGATGCAGGGGACAGGGGAACTCCTACTCCTGAATCCCTGCAGGGGCAACATCTGCTTGAATGAACGATCCTGGCCTGAGGATACTTTTTAAAGTACTGCTCAGCAGGGCGCGGTGGCTCACACCTGTAATCCCAGCACTTTGGGAGGCCGAGGTGGGTGGATTACAAGGTCAGGAGTTCCAGACCAGCCTGGCCAACATGGTGAAACCCTGTCTCTACTAAAAACACAAAAATTAGCTGGGAGTGGTGGCATGTGCCTGTAATCCCAGCTACTCACAAGGCTGAGGCAGGAGAACTGCTTGAACCTGGGAGGTCGAGGTTGCAGTGAGCCAAGATTGCACCACTGCACTCCAGCCTATCACAGAGACAGATTCCGTCTCAAAAAAAAAAAAAAAAAAAAAAAAGAGTACTGCTCAAAAGATGGTGGAAAAGAAGTCATCTTGTTTGCTGACGCTTATGCTTTAATGTTGCTTTATTTTTTATTTTTATTTTTATTTTTTTGAGACGGAGTTTCGCTCTTATTACCCAGGCTGGAGCACAATGGTGCGATCTCAGCTCACCGCAACCTCCACCTCCTGGGTTCAAGCAATTCTCCTGCCTCAGCCTCCTGAGTAGCTGGGATTACAGTCGTGTGCCACCATGCCCAGCTAATTTTTGTATTTTCAGTAGAGACGGGGTTTCACCATGTTGACCAGAATGGTCTCGATCTCTTGACCTCGTGATCCACCCACCTCGGCCTCCCAAAGTGCTGGGATTATAGGCGTGAGCCACCGAGCCCAGCCTTTTTTTTTTTTTTTTTTTTTTTTTCTGGTCTTAGTTTCGTACTAAAATTCCTTATGAAAAAAATCCAGCCTATTTCTGCTAAAATACAGAGGTTGGGGTGGGGAGTGGTGGGGAGTGAACAGTCCCACTCTAGCAAGACAGGCCTGGCCTCAGCTAACCGCCTGTCCTTTTTCCCTGTGGTCTGGAAGGCTGCCCACCCCTCTCAAGGCTTCTTGTCCTTAGAACTCAAGCCCCAGCCCAGGATGGAACACAGGATGTTCTCAGGACAGGAAGGGGTGGTAGGTGGGTGGTCGGGGGCCTGGGAGGCACACAGGGCTCCCAGGCACGGGATCAGTCAGTGCTCAGGGCAGACACTCACCAGGGGCGCCACACCCGGGATCCACATGGCCAGGGTGTGGCCCTGCTCCAGGGCCCGGGCCACGGTCTTCATGGTGTGTCGAGAGATGGTGTTGGTCAGAGCCCCAACCCTGTGCACAAGGCTCAGCTTGGCCTTGGGAGGCTTCTGTGCTTGCTGGTGTCCAGGAGCAGGGGCTGGGTAGGGATTTGGGGGAAAAGAACGGAAGATCCATCAGAGAGGGGCCAGGGAGACCTGGGTCATGGCTAGTGCTGGAAAGCAGGTGTTCTGGTCCCACCACAAACTCACTGGTGATTTCCACAACTCACTTTCCCTCTTTACTGATGGGGTGGGGGCGGGGGTGAATGCGAAGCCATCTGAAAATCCCACTGGCCTTCCCTATTCCAGAGCAGGGGCTGGGTGAGCCCTGCTACCTCCTGCTGAATCCCAGGTCGTGTGTGTGACAGCAGCTCACTCCCAGGCCGAGCCTCCAAACGGTGGGTACCTGACTCTGTCTTGCCTGGCGGGAGGAGGTACTCCACCACCTTCTCAATGCTGCCTAAGGCCAGATCGGCCCCTTCGGAAGCCAGCCGGCCAGCTCGGGTGTTGGCAGCAAATTCCGCAGTGTCTCTGGCCACTCCCCAGGCAAGCTCGCACCCAGTCAGAGCGGCCCCCAGGACCTTGTCTGAAGTGCTGGCGATGGGCACGCTGATGCTGTTTCTGGCGCTGAGGAGGCGGGTGGAGATGGTGTCCTTCAGCTCAGAAGCAATCTGGGGGAGTAAGTGGGGGTTAGGCATGCGGTCTTGCAGATCCCACAAGGGCCACCCTTTTGGGGCCTGGCATCCTGAGCCTAGCTCCCAGGAAGGTCTCAGCTAAAGGCCCAGGGAGCTGGTGCTGATACTTGGGTACCTGGAATTAAGCTGGGCTCTAAAGGGAGAGGGCGCCAACCTGCCCTGTGCCACCCACTTGGTCTCCTGGCTCCTTCACACTGCATCACTGTCTGTCAAGATCCCTCCCATCCTGCGAGGATGACCCCAAAGGCTCCTCTTTAGTGGCCCGTGTCCTGACACCCTCGTGCTCACAGGGACTCTCCTCCCTCCTTTCCTCAGAACACGCCGTTTCTATTGATTTACAGGTGGGCTTGATCTTCACTGGTTCTGCATTGAAATCATCTGACTTCTCTTCATTATCCTGGGAGTTCCTTTGTGACAAAAACCCTGCCCTTTATCTGGAAAAAAGTGTAGCAGAGAGCATAGACCTCACAGCTGAACAGACCTGCTCTCATGTGGTCTCCAATTAAGGCTGTGTGGCTGTGGGAAGACACTGGTTTCCTCTCTGTAAAGTGGAGGTGATGACCCCTATCCCAGAGGATTGATGAGGGTTCAGTGAGAGCTTGATTAAGCATAGGCAATGGCCCTGGGCATAGGGGAGGGCTCGGTACATGTTGGTAGGAAGGGTGGATAGTTGGTCAGTGAGACAGATGAATTAGGATAGGGCTTAGGGTAGGGGTCTGTATGTGTTCATGGGAAGGGTAGATACTTGGAGGGCTCAGTACATGTTTTCGGAAGGGTAGACAGTTGGTCAGTGAGATAGATGAGGTGGGTACAGAGCAGGGCTCAGCACATGTTTTGGGAAGGATAGACAGCTGGTCAGTGAGATAGGTGAGGTCAGAGACTGAAGCTTATTCCCCAGAAGCAGCAAAAAGCGGCCCTTATCATAGCAACTACCCAACGAATATGTAGCCACATAAAGTGACTTTCAGTCTCATGGTCCATAAAATGTTGGATCTTGAGGACCTGGGATGACACTCCTGGGGTCTTCATGAGTGTGACTTGTGATCCTAGGCAGCTGCAGTCACCAAGTGGTCCAGGGCAGACTATGGAGCCCCAGACCCCAGGGTGCGGCATTGGGAGTAGTGGGAATGCCTCGAGCATCTGTCTGAGTTTGCCTCTGGGATTGTGCCTGCTGGTCCCAGAAACCCAACTTCCAGAAACACCACCTCCATCTGGCTTCAGAGAGAGAAGAGGAGCCCGTGGTGTGGACTTGGGAGCAGGCAGCCTCCACCGGCCTTGGAGGGTGCTCGCCGTGGGACACAGACCTACAGTCGCCACCTCAGCAGCCCCTGCCGTCTCCTCCCTGAGCGGGGTGACTAGAGTGCGGGGGGCTCCCGAGGTGGGAAGGGGCTCACCTTTTCAGGAGGGTACTGAAGGGCTGGGATCTTCTGCTCCAGGTGGTCCAGGCCCCGCAGGCTAGCTCGTTGGCAGCTGTGACTGGAAGGAAAGAGCCAGGTTTGGGTGAGCCCTGCCCCTCACCATGAGAATCTAGCAGTGGCCTCTGCACCAAGGAAGCGACCTGGAGCCCTCACATCCCAGGCCTGCTGCCTCCCAGCATCTCTGGGCCCCGGGTCCTTTGCCTTCTTTAGCCCACGTCCGCTGGGACTCCTCGAGACCCAGGCCGGTTTCTTCCGTCTGTGGGAACTCTGGAGTCGTTCAGGCCTGCACTCAGAAGGCCGAGTGCCCACATCTGTGCAGCCCGGGGCCTCAGCAAGCCCCAGCCTGCCTGAGCCTCTGCTTCCTATGGTGAATTAATGGTGCCTGCCTGGCAGGGTCACTGTGAGGAAGAATGATGGGAACTAAATGAATCACCAACAAGTACTGTTCTTTCCCCCATTCTCTTCCCTCCCCACCAGGATGGGGGCTCCGAGTGAGCATGAGGAGGGAGAACAGAGGTGTGAGAGGCAGGCAGGTGCAGTCAGGCCTTGGGGCTGAACCTGCTTAGTTCCAGTGGGACAAATTCCCAGCAGTCAGTGCAGGGCCCCAGGCTGCCCATGCCCTTCTTTTTTTTTAGATGGATTCTTGTTCTGTCACCCAGGCTGAGTGCAGCAACACAATCTCAGCTCACTGTACCCTCCACCTCCCAGGTTCAAGCGATTCTCCTGCCTCAGCCTCCCGAGTAGCTGGGACTACAGGTGGGCACCACCATGCCCAGCTAATTTTTTGCATTTTTAGAAGAGACAGGGTTTTGCCATGTTGGCCAGGATGGTCTCGATCTCTTAGCCTCGTGATCCACCTGCCTTGGCCTCCCAAAGTGCTGGGATTATAGGCATGAGCCACTGCGCCCGGCGCCAATCCCCTTCTTTTGAACCAGTGTTGAGATGGTTGACCATCAGAAGAAAGGTGGCAGGGAAGGGAAAGGGTTGCCTGGAGAGAGGGCACGCATCAGAGCCGCACATGCTTCAGGGGGATCCCGCCCAGGTCAGCCACAACACGGGCTCTGCCAACCTGGCCATGGGGACCACAGCTTTCGAGGAGAGTTCTTTATGCTCTTTCCTGTGTTCTTTATCCAGATACTTTATTTTTCTTCACAAAATGCTCAAGCAGAGAGCCCAGATGACCTGCCTGTCTTCCAGTTAGGCAGAAGGAGACTCAGGGAAAGTATTGAAGGAGGTGCAGCCAGGGGCAGGGCTGGCCTTCCCACCTGTCCTCTCCCATTTGCTGTGTTCACACCTGTCCTCTCCTGTTTGCTGCGTCGAGTCCTCAAATCCCATTACTCTCTAATTAGGATGGTGGAAGGTGCTAGACTTCTTGGCATGACTGAGTTTCCCTCAGCGCTGTCAGGAGCTATGCCTTGGAGACCACATGTTCAGATGGGCAGAACAATTTGAGGTGGGGCACACCTGGCAAGGCCCGAAAGAGGAGCCATCTTCTGCCTCCAGGGCCCCGGTTGCGGCTCTCTGCTGCCCCTACCCGTCAAGACCCGCTACCAGCAGCTGCTGGACTCAGCCAGCTTTCCCCTCCCTCCAAGGAGAACTGTCCTCCAGCCCTGCCAGGGCCCCTAGTGCCACTGCCTCTGCCTCTCCCAGACTCTGCAGTTCTTGCTCGCTCGCTCCCTGTGCTGCCACACCCTCACCGCGCCTGCACAGCTACTGCTTTCCCTTCCCCTGCAGATTCTCTGGCCATCATTATTTCCTAGGAACATGGCAGCTGGGCCATAGACAGGCACCTATAGATGAAAACAGATCTGTATGTATACCTTTTTTTTTTTCTTTGAGACGGAGTCTCACTTTGTCCACCAGACTGGAGTGCAGTGGCGCCGATCTCGGCTCACTGCAACCTCCACCTCCTGGGCTTCAAGCAATTCTCCTGCCTCAGCCTCTCGAGCTAGCTGGGACTACAGCGGCTGCCACCACACCCAGCTAAGTTTTATATTTTTAGTCGAGACGGGTTTCACCATATTGGCCAGGCTGGTCTCGAACTCCTGACCTCTGTGATCTGCCCAACCTCGGCCTCCCAAAGTGCTTAGATTATAGGTGTGAGCCACCGCGCCCGGCCATATTATACTTTATATCCGTAGGTAAGACCATGCACGGGACGTAGGCAGCTAGTGTAGGCAGTTAAGCAGACACACAAGCAAGTTATCAGACAGTCAGACAGACTGAGAGGGAACAGATAGACTTCGGGTAGGCAGTGAACAAGCAGGCAGCTGCTGAGCAGCGAGGACCACACTGGGTGGACAGCCTGCGGACCACTGGCTCCATGCTCCAGGCGCCAGGCTCCAGCGCTCTGCACGCCCTTCTCGAGGCATTGCACACAGAGGCCACAGTGGGGGGGCTTCCTTGGTGCTGGGGTAGGTCTTCTGGAAGCACTCGCAGGTGCCACTCACCATGGGCAGCTGCAGGACCCGCTGTAGCAACGTTCGTCCTGCTCCTGCTGTGAGGAACACACGAAAGCTGTGGCTCTCCCCTCTCTGGGAACCTGGAAAGTGACCCAGGGTCAAGCTGCACTGTCGCGGAATGGGTAACAGGGCTCCATAGAGGTATGAGGGGTCGAGTACTACCTGGCAATGTGAATTGGATGGAGCCTGAAAAAAGAAAAGCGCGCAAAAAACACGAGGAACTTTCGGTTGGGAAAGCATTTTGTCAACACAAGGGGCTTCAAAACAACACCAAGGGAGGAGCCGAAGATTGGGGACCCCAAGCAGAGAAAGAAAAAGGGATATTCAGACCGGGTCGAAGGGGGGTGGGAACCCCAAAAAACTCCAAATGGGAAATTTTAAAACAAAGAAGGGTAGGGCAAAGCCAAGGGGAAAACAGAGGGAAAAAAACAAGCGCAAAAACAGGGGGGACCCATCTCACGCCTTATGGAACCAAAAAAAATCTTTCAAGAAATGGTAGTTGGGGATATGTGGCTAAGAAAAGAAAAAAGAACCTTAATTCTACAGTCTGATAGGTGTTTACCTGAATGTGATGGAAAGGAGGGAAATGGAAATCCAAGGCTGGAAAAAATTTTACCTCTTTCCCAGGATATTATCCCAGGGAAAAAAGCCTCCCCCAAAAAACCTAGCCAAGGGCCAGGAACCAATATTTTCAAATCCCAGGACAATTTGACAGAGAACAACCACCACACGGAGGATTAATTTCCGCAACAGAAAGGGGGGATGGGCAAACCCCCAAGGCAACATTAAAAAATCGTTCAGATTTACACCAGTGGGGCTGAAAATGAAAGACGAAACAAATGCTAAGGGTCCCAAAGGCCCAGGAGTAGAAGAGAAGGGTAGAGGAAAGGTTTCGGGGGTTCACCCCACAAAAAAGGGAAGCCCATTTAAGAGGGGACTCACAAGCAAAGCATTCTCTTCTAGCAGGGACACCATAACGGCATTCTACAAGCCAGGGAAGTGGGAGGGAACTGGGGGGGCGCAAAATTCAACATCCTTAAAAGATAAAAAGAAACTTGTCAAACCCCAGAATAATCTCCTATCCCCAGCCAAAACT